GCACTTGATATTAAAAAGTGAATTTATTACATTAGTTAAGCAATATTCTTCACTGAATATATTTTAATATTAGTCATTATACCATATACAAAGTTTTATATTGTTGATCCGATCTTAATCATTTCAAAAAATATAACTACTTAAGCTAAGAGAAGTTTAAAATTTTCAGATTGTATGCATAAAACCTTTGAAACTGCTATAGTTTGAACTATCAGCATATTAAATTAAAATTCCTGAAGATTATAAAAAATATTTTTAAAACATGCTTAATTGCTAAAATGTTCAAGTTGATTTTTGGAGTTTAGTAATTCAAAAATGTTTTCATATAATTTTTATATTTATTTTTAAAATTTTGCTTTGAAAATTTGATGAAGATGATACTCACTAATTTTTTGACTGCTGTTTGATAATGAGACTTGTTACTAAATATGATAATTGGTGTAGTATAATGATGGCAATAATGAAAGTTACATTAAATCATGACAAAGGTTAATTTACTAATTTGGTCTTAGCATGCTAAATATCTCTTCAACTGATACATTTCTTTTCATCACTATGCTGGTAATTATGTAACTGTAACATATGAGAGTTTGTTAACTGAGGCTTTTTGTGACTCTTTATAAATCCTACCAAACATGACAGTATTTGCAGTAGATTGATTAATTGATATTCATTATTCTTGTTTGTCCTTTCAATCTACATCCATTACCACACACAGCACCTTATACCAAAAAATTATTTCATACAAATTATCATGAACATTGTAACTATTATAATGTTAAATTTTAACTGACATTTACATTTTCTAAAATATATTCTTGAATAAAAAAAAGTTTTCTTTATCAAATTTAGTTATTATTTTGTTTGTTTTTTTATTTTTAGAGTTTGTCATCTTTTAATTATTTTAATTTTCGATGTAGAAGCTTTTGTATTAACATTTATATATTCTTTCCTATTTTATATGCTGTCATGAGAAAAATATTTTATTTAAAGAATTATCAATAATATTACTTTTATTAATACACTTATAAACTTAAAATTTTAAAGTTTTATGTAAATTTTTCACATGAATTTATAAACAAATGAAAATAGTTTATTCCATATATATATATATATATATAAAATATATGATAAACAATGTTTGCAGCCTCCTAATTTGTGCAAACTGTCAATAAATTTATTTTTCAGTAAATTGTTGTATGTAAAAATCAAAACAGTGAGCAATAAGTAAATGATTTTAAGTAAATAGTGATACAGCGCATAGAATTGTGACTATATACTATATTAGACTAAAAATAATTTATCTTTTCAACATTCTATGTGCTGTATCACTACTTAAAATCATTTACTTATTGCTCACTGTTTTGATTTTTACGTACAACAATTTACTGGAAAATAAATTTGACAGTTTGCACAAATTAGGAGGCGGCAAACATTGTTTATCATATAGGATTTTTACTTCTGAACTGATGGTTTGTACATTTTTTTTTCATTTCTTTAAATTATTTTTAACATAAATATGGCTTAGAACTTTGTGGATAGACTGTTTCTTTAGCATTGCTTTTAAGAATCTTTAAATAATCATTTATAAGACTTACAGATAAGTTTTTCTTTGAATCTAACTTTTAAACAAATGTTCTATTTGTTTTAGTAAATCTGACTTCAATGCTGTTTATGCCATTAATAAGATTTAATAACATTTATCAATGGTTAAATTTTCATTAATTATTTTTATTAACAAGAAAGAAAGAAATTTTTATAATTCAAACAATCTTGTTCAAGTATATATAAAAGAAAAATATTTTATCTTTTATAGAGTCACATTTTTCTGAGTCAGTTTTAAGCAACAAAAATATAAGAACATTTATTCTATGTAGATTATAAAAATCTATCAAACAGATAAAGAAAAAATATTCCGAGGAAAGTTTATGCACTTTTTTTTATATTGATGAGCTATGTAAAATATATTTGTACCCACAGTTATTTGAGCACACACAACATCATAAGAAACTTTCCTGTTTTTTTTCTCTAATAATCAGTATAAGAGGTGACAGGACCTGTATACTCTGAATGGGACAAAAATGTACAGTTCTTATCAAATGTCAAACTTTTGTTGGTTCATTATTAGTGAAAAAATGTCTTAAAAGAATTCTTTTTATATATAACATCATATTTTTAGATTCAATAAACATTGCAGTACTAATGCATTTAATGTAATGAAAATTTTCCTTAATAATTGAATACTGAACACAAGTAGAACAAAAGAATAGTACATAACTAAAAACCTTTCCCAAAGAAATATCAACATTTATCTTGATATAATAACCCTTATAAAAAATTCATATAAAAATTAGACGTTCAAAATATGCATTTATTTAAACAAATTTATTGCAGTTGAGCTTTTAAGACAATTGAAATTTTTAATTAAATTTTCATCAGAAATTAATTACATATGCTAAACAGCAACCATAGTTAAATATTTTCTTTTCAAGATCTCAATATTCAAAAGTACATTTTCATTAAAATCATCTTCAAATTACAAAATGGACATACCATATATTTTTTACTTATTAAAACAAAATTCTCTTATATTTTTATATTTTTTATACCTTGTACAAGGATTTAAAAAATTAACAGATACTAATGATTATTTTTTTATTCTTCCGATATATTTCTTTAAAAAGTTTTGTAATTAATACTGAAAATCATTAAAAATCAATAATGGATTATTTCTTAAACCTTTCTTCTGAAGAGAATATTTGAAGAGACATGTATACATTTTATATGAGAGCAGCTAATCTATCCACTGATTTTCAATTTCATAGTGGACTTATTAGCTACAACTAATTGTAGACTTTTCTGCATGCAGTAACTGGGATAAGGCATGTCTGTTTCCATTGCAGCCAACACCACTGACCACCGCTTTTCATAAATACAGAGTCTGAGCATGTTAATATTGCAACTGAATCATGCTGAGTATAAAAAAACTCTGCCATTTAGATACGTAAATGATTATTTTATTGTAAACAATAACTTATAATTCATAAATAACTGATGAATATTAGGCAAAAAATACTGATAGCTCCCAAAGTTATCAACTTCAGTGAGAAATATGTCATTAAAACAAAAGTGCCGATAGTAGAATAAATTCAAGAGCAGCAAGGAGAGCTCATCTGAAATACCAATTCTTAATTATTATTTAATTCAAAATAAAAGATCTCATATATGGAATGGATTATTTCTTAGTCTCTGTATTAAATGGCACTTTATCCTTGACAGGATTTGCATCAAGATTCCAAATGAAAACTGTTTTAATGTTTACATTAACTCTAAACAAGTTACTGCTAATATCATGGCACTATAAATTTCTGTTGTTAAATTTTAAATAATATATCCATCAAAAGTTGTTTTCCCCTTTAAAACAATTAAATTTTCAAAGATATAATATAAATGACATTTCTTTAAAACAATTTACAGAATTACAAAACATTGATCTCATTGGATTATTTATTATTATTATTATTATTGTTGTAATATTTTCTTTTCAAAGTTTTAACTGTGTAGCTGATGTTGCTCTTCTGAAACTGACAGCATTTTACACATTAGCTAAGAGAAGAATACAGGCATATTCTCATAGAATCTATTCCATGTGGTTTAGTTTATTGGTAAGACATGACTGATTATCAAATAGTTGCAATTTCTTGCTTAAGCAGTTGTTCCATATATGTCATTAGTGTTGTATTAAAAACAGTTCAAACATTTGAATATCTTCAACTTTTGCATCAGTTATTTAAAAGCTCATCTCTGGTTAATTCCAACTGCAAGATGAACTGGGAAGTGTTATAAGATTTGCTAATCCAGACAATGTTTATATTTTGATGTTTCACTGGTGTAATAGTTCCTCTTGAAGTAAGCATAATGTCTTATCCTATGTGCTGGTTGATTAAAAGAACCTCAACAATTCAATTATTCTTAGTTCAGTTCTACTTCAAGGAGATACAGACAAGCTGTTACTTGGTTCTTCTGTATCAAAGTACTTTCAAGGAAATTATTCTCACTTTTAATGAAATATGAAATATACAATACACATACTGAGAGTTTCTTTTGCCCAGGAAGCAGATACCCTTGTGTTTTGCTCTCAAAAATCAAGGACTCCCTCAGTAGATGAGTAAATGGAAGATGTGCAATGAATAAAACATAAATTGGAGAGGGTGTCTGCACTTGTAGAAGCAAGTTGTGAACGCAATATGGAGATGTAATGGACAACAAGAATGGCATATAATGAGAAATCAATGTGACAAGAGCTTGGACTTGGTCAGTGATGGAGGGAGTTGTGTGTCATGACCTGGCCATGGTGTGGTGGTTCAAGGCGGAGAGAGAGAAAAATGGTCAGAGTATTGGTGGTGGTGATGGTAGTGGCAGCTCTAGTTGCTGGCTGCCACTCTGGCATGAGGGGTTCCCACAGAGGTCACTTCTGCAGCCTATGCATTTTGACTGTGCTTTTACTCTCCCTCCTTCTTTAAATACATCTATCCTTTCTTCCTTCCTCTCCTTTTGCACAATCCCGCCATCTCCCTTCTAGCTAGTAGCAGTGATGGTGATGGTGAAAGTGGGGGCAGCAGTAGCAAGGCCACTGAGGCAGTGGTGGTGATGGGTGGGTTGAGGATGCTGTGGAGAGTGACTGGCCAGCCGGCTGGTCTACTGCCGCTGGTAGTAGCCGTGGCTAGAGCTAGGTTATTTCCATATTGATTTTCTACCGTCACAATGCTTGTGGTCAAGGAGATTCTTGGCCGGTTTGTCAGGAAGGACAGACAGAAAGAGAAAGAGACGGAAGCCTCAAGATTGTTTCTGTTTCTTACTGGGAATTCCTGGAAATCACCCACACTTAGTATTGCTATGGACAAATTCATTTACTCGTATCAGGATTAAGAATAGCTGGTCATCAGACAGGCTTGGAGAGGATCAGCGGATTTTTACTCCTGATCTTTTTTTGAGTCACAATGTCTTTCGCCTTTTGCACTGCCCTTATCTCTCACATGTCTGCCCCTATGTTATGCATGTCGCTCACTGGGTGGGCGTTACAGTACAAAATAATCAGAAAAACATAACCAGTTAGCTCCCTTTTCAAAAAAAACACTGTTTTCATTAAAAAAGATGTCTGCTGAAAATGTTTAGAGATCTTTCTTAGGTAAGCTGATGGTCAGTGTTTTAGTGTATTTTATCAGTGATGTGGAGAGGGAAAGCTGAATTTTCTTCTCATCATGTCATGTGGCTTGTGTATGAAGTGGACATGAGACTGTGGCCATTATACCCAGATTTTTTCCTCCATTGGATGGACGACGCAGGTGCTTTAGTGATGAATGATGGCTGAAAACCTGACGTCGTCATCACTACATTTTTCTTGCTTGGAGCCATACAACAACGAATATGTAACCTTTTTACCCCTAACCCACACTACTGATTTCTTCCGGTGAGAAGGATTACACTTTTACTCTATTTTTCAAATGCCTTTTACATTCCTTTTAAATATAAAATTCTTTAATGACCCTCCAGAAGCTATTTTTAAAATGTGAAACTCTTTTCCTTTGCCACAATTTTTCAGGTGTACTTACATCTTGCCAACTTTTCTTTCTTAGACTTGTTAAATCTTTGAGTATAGTGAACATGATTTTCTTTATAACTTTCTATTAGCAATGAGTTTGCTTTCCGTAAGTATTAGTTATCATTTTTTTTAATGATAATGAATATTTTTTAACTTTTAATTTCTCTTCTTTCTTGATTTTTCATAGAATTAGGGAATTGAAATTTGAAGAGGGTAAAACTTAATTTACAAAGCATTAAATTTCTTTTAAATTCATGGAATCATTAGAACTTTAGATCTACCAAAAGATAATTTCTTTAAAAATTTGCTATGCCATGGATTACAGCTAATCTTGTCTGATAAAATTTATTTAAGAGCTGAATATTTTTATAAGTTGATTAATTTGCAAATTATTTGTATTAAAGAGGCCTTTTTATAGATTTAAAATGACTAGAACTGGCAATATTTTCCAAGTCTTGAGCTGTTAATATTTCTGTTGATTTAAAAAAATCAACAGAAATATTTCAAAACTAAGTAACATGCAGTCAAACAATCTAAAAAATAATATACACACTTACTTCAGTAAGATTATACTTTATTTTTTTTCAGAGCAGGCAGACCATATACTAATAGTTTTTATCAATTCTAATTTAGTTACATTACTGCTTTTCATTTTTTATTTATTTCAAAATAATTTAATTTTTATTTATATTAATGTACAAGCTAATGATTTGATTTACATTTAATAGTCTGAAAATATTACAGAAATACCAAAATTCAGGTGCTGTTCATTCCTATAGAGAATTACATCAATACCAATATTTATAAAGTTATCTTAAAATGTTTATCCAATAAATTTATAACACTATACACAATATTTAAATTGTTTTGATGACTTTTATAACTATTTTAACTTCATGAAAAAAATTTATACAAATAAGAAATTAAAGTTTTTTTATAAGTTCTTTTGCTGTATTGATAGTCATAGAATGGATATGAAAATATTACTTGAACTCTTTGAATAATGACTATATCTTTTACTATATTTGATATCCAATAAATTTCATTTGAAAATTCAAATCAGGCCTCATTTTAGCTATCATCAACTTAAGTGAAAAATATATTTGTCCAATTTCTAATCTGAGTAATTTAAAAAAAAAAAAAATGAATAACTGTTAAATGTCCAAGAATTTAGATCCCTATTCCTCAACTAATAACTTTTCTTTTCTTCTATAAATTTCTATTGATAAAAATGTTGGTTATATTTGATGCTGACACATTTTTCTATTTGAATTAGTGCTGGCTTAGCTGACTAACACATGAGCATGAGATTTGTCTACATACATAAACATTATGCTGATATAAAAAAAATCCTATTACTTTTCAATGATTTCTATCTATATTACTTAGTTCATAATCAGTAAAGTCTTGTTACATTACACTTCTTTTAGCTTAATAGAGAGCTTCTTATCCTGTTATACTAATCTGCATTATGCATTTCATATTCTTTCTTTTATTCACAAGAGAATAAGTAAGGTTTTTATCCTGCCATCTGTTTATAGGTACTTTTTACATCCCCAGATCTGTGTGTCCAGAACACTTGAGGGGCAGGAACTATTTAAGCATTAATTTTTTTGTGATTACACCAACTTCTCCTTTTTTGTTAAACATGCACTTATAGCCTGAGTAGACATCTGATTTCCTCAGATACAATACCAATGGTCAACATAAAAAAATGATAGAGAAATATGGAATATGATCAAGGGAAATATGTACAAACAATGATTATCAGTACTTTAAAATATGTATCATATTTTGTTAATTAAAATGACATTTTTTCAACTTCATTCTACTGCGAGAGAATCTTTTTATACTGTTTTCTATGTATTTACTAAAACAATGGTAACAAGGGAGTAAACAATATTCAACTTTTACAATACTCCTAAAAAAGAATAAATATAAAACATTCTCTTTTAAAGTCTACTTTTATTTCCATTCATTAAGTGATATATGAACATTTATAAACCACTCAGGTAACATTCATGCTCATTACAATTTAATGTTGGTTTTCAACATAAACAGATTTCTCAATATTATATAGTATGTGATAATTTTTAGTGCAAGTATCTTGATAATGATAAAAAAAAAAAAAAAAAGAAAAAAGTGTTCTATGTTTTAGGCAAAAAAAAAAAAAAAAAAAAAAATTAATATTTATTATTAAACATTATTTATCCATTTATAGTTCTTATTGTGGTTATATATATAATTAATGAGTAAAAGTTTGTCACTTAGCTGATTGATGTTACCTTCAGCATCCTGACACTGGAATTTCATAAACAAATATATCTACTCTTCAGTGGGTACCCAGCAATTTACTACTTATATTTCTTGACTTTTTCCTATATATATATATATATACACAAAAAAAAAAGGGACAGTCGTGTGAAAAGTTCTTGGACTGACCCACTTTCAAAAATTTGAACAAATACCAAAATGTTTTTTTTATATTTTTTAAATCTGTCCTTTTTTCTTACCATGAACTTTTCAGCACCCCTTGTGTGTGTGTAAATTTAAATGTTTTCAAAAGTACATATTTTATATAAACAGGTATTCTTTATTAAAGAAAAGATATACTTTGAAATCTGATAAAATATGTGATTCTATTATTGTGTAAATGTTTCCAGTGAAAACTAGTTTTCAATTATATATTAAGCCTTTGGTTTTCAAAAATATTGCAGTGAACTTTTACACACATAATAATACAGGCATTTCATCATATGAGTAAGACAAAATGCCTATTATAAATGTAATAGTCTTAACACAATTGCTACCAAATGTATACTTGTTTAAATAATAATACTGTAGGTATATTTTTGGTTGAAAATATTTGACTTTTAAAAATTTCTGAAAACAACATTTAAATAAATTTGTATTTCTATTGGATTGAATTCTTAGTTTATTTTATTAGAATGCTTTAGAAACTTACATAAAACAATTTCATTCCACGAAAGAAAATGAAGAAATGATTTCAAAACAAACCTTTGTCTGAATTGCAAAGTGGTAATTATTTTTAATTATAAATGATACGAAATATTCATTTTCATTCAATGCTTATGAAGTTATGTTTTTTAGTAAAAACATGCATAATAAATTATTTTTAGTTAAATATAATTTTCCATCAAATTAGCATTGAAAGCTTTTCATAACATAAGCATTTTATTCAATAAGGATTTTTATAATTTAAAGAGAAATGATACTCATATTATTCGCAAAAATTATAAATATACAAAATCATTGTAATATATTATTAAATCATACTATAACTTATTCTTATTTAAAGATTCAACATATATTAAATAATTAATATATATATACATTAAGAATTTTGAATTGTATGAGAGCACATAGTTCACTTAACTAAATAAAAAAATGCTAACATTTTTTACATAAATTTTTTTGAAATATCATTTTCCTTTAATGTAAGTAATTATATAGGAAATTAATTTGTATATCAATTTCTATGCCAACAAATTTTCATTACAAGAATTTGTAAAAGAAAAAATTCTTAGCTGTTGTTATTGTATTTTATTGAAGAATGTCAATATATAAGTCAATTAGAATTCTTTAAAAAAGCTTTATTTAAAATGTACTTTTGAAATTATTTTATCATCAATTCAAAACAAATTGTTAAATATCTAATGAGTATTGTGACGTTTAATTTTACAAATATTAACAGTAACATCTATAAAAAAATCTTGGTTTTGAGGTGGAACTGAATCATTAATAATTTACAGTATTATTTATATTCATCCTATACATTGTTTAATTAAATAAAATTAGAAACATTTAAGAATAATGCTTTAGAACTTTGTATCCTTCCACTTTAATATGTGCAGTGGATTTAAAAAATATTAAACAAAAATAATTTTTATTTATTTAATTGTTATTGCCAGATCTTATCTAAAAGTATTGTATGTACCTTATATAAGTGTTATTTTGCTAAGAATTTGGCCTATCATCCCCTTCCAATTCCATCTCATTACATTTTGCCTCACACCCTAACTCCCATCCATCACTCCACAAGTGTTGGGCTCTAGGCTATTATTCCTAACTGCTTCCTTAATTTATAGTAACAGTAAATAGTGACATAACTCCTTTGCTTTAACTGCAATGGATGCCTTTCCCATCAAATAGCAGATAAAATAATTGATTAAAAGTGAAACACACAAATTTTATAGTTTTACACAAAAGAAATGCCTCATTAAACACTTAAAACTTATTCTTTTCAGGACCACAAATGAAGGATCATGAAAAAAAAGTTTTACAAGTATAACAAATCAGTTATTAGGAGTTTTGTTTGACCTATTTTATATTAAGCAAAGTCAGTCTAAGCTAATGGAACATTCTTTACAAAGTAAACCAAATATATAACAGTTCTTTATCAATCTGATAGGAAAGCAAAAACAAATATAAAAGATACCAAAATCTGATTTTTATTTCAACAACCATAATTGAGGTAATAACAATGTTTTTCCTTTTTTAATTTTCATTTAATTGATAGTTTGATGAAACATTTACCTATATATTATTTATGAAACATACTTGGAGACATTTATTAGAAAAATTACAAATGGACTCTGGAAATAAAAAATTGGGCATATCTTCTGGTATTTTAAAATTCAATAAACAATTTCATCAAACATCTATTTCCATTTTACCTCTCAATGAAAACTGAATAATGGTATTATTACAACAATTAAAGTTAGTGTTTTTATTTTTATATTAAAGTGTTGTAAATCTTCAGAAATTAAAACATTTATAACTGTATGCTAAATTTCTAAGTTCTTATTTAATGTAAATATTATTAAATCTTGAAACATTTGAAATTACATTTAGAAAATAAAATTGCATAAAGTCCATCAACATTCTCATGAGAAACATTTTTATTTCTTTATTTACATTTTATATATATATTGCAGTTTACTTTCATGTTTCTGAGGCTGTTCAAAGCCATCCCTACAAAGTCCATACTTATGTTAAAAAAAGTAATTATCTCTTGATTAATACATACATACTTACTAAATTCTAACTGATACAATGCATACAGATTTCAAATAAAAAATAATTAGGCATGAAATTTCTAACAATTTTAAATTGACCTCTCAATCCCAATATTTTTGTATTTATTTACTATTATTATCCTAAAATAATAGTTTTTAAATACATACTCCATTAAAAAAAATAAAGCACAGAAAAAAATAGATATCTTAAATATCTTTAATATTAAATTATATGAATAGGTAATAAGTACATTTTATATTTAAATGGAACAGTTAATAATGATAACATATTTAAATGTAAATGATTTCTGAGATTTTGTTCTTTTGAAAAAAAATAGTGTGAATAATATAAAAAAGGAATGTAATTTACACTAAGAAATATTTATTTGCAAATGTCACAAATAAAAATAATGTATATAGGAAAAAAGTTATCAATTTATATAAAATTGTAAGTCACAGTAGTTATGAGGATACTGTTACATTACAAACTAATCAAGAATTTTCAGATCAATCATCAATATATTTCTGATAAAAACTATAAATTTAATGTTTATGATAATGTTCCAATTATAAATGAAGTAATAACTTACAGCAGATGTTTTGAAATTGTGTTCAGTAGGTTTGTAAAATTCTTATAGTTTTTGTTTTTAATTTTTTTTAAAGTCACTTCATATCTAGAAATTGTATAGTCAAGGTAGGAAAGATAAACTTGTGTATTAAGAGGTAATTAGAAAAAAGAACTTTAAATAAATAAGTGAAATTTTAAAATATTTTTTCAGAATATATTTTACATTTCAGAAGTCAGATTTTTAATTTGTTAAAGTATGATAATATTGTTTAAAATCATTTAAAATTGACTGGAGTAAACTGTACTTTTTAATAACTATTTAAGTAAACATTTTAAGGAACATTACATTTCTGATAATTTTACATTTAGACAAAACAACTTTTTATGAAACAAATCTCAATTCTTTAGCTATGAATTTAGAAGTTTTTCTATTTAGAAATTATTTACCATCTATTTGTAGCTCTCTTTATTAATTTAATTAGTAAATTTAGCTAACTCATTCTTGAGTTTAAGATTAATTATAGATTGAAAGCTGTTTTCAGAAATTGTGTCTTTAAAGTTAGTACTACAAATTTATTGAAAGCTTATCAAGAACTGAAACATGAATGTTATTTTCATGGCTTTATCTTGTTTCTCTAATTTTGCAAAATATGTATGGATTTAATTGCTATTTTGCAATTCATTACAAAAAATCATAAATAAATTACTTATATATATATATATATATATATACACACACACACTGATTAGCATTATGTGAAATTTTGAAGTTGTCAAGAGATAAGTCACTTGCACATTAATTTACTGACATTATATATATATATATATAGTTTATTGGTTACAAAATGTATATCTACATAGAATTTTTTTTATGTACTTCAAAATAAAACTAATAAAAGCAGAGTATACAATCTTATAGCAGATAATTTATATTTTCAGTAATAAAAAGCATTACATTGATTTTAAATTGATATTTTTTAAAAATGTTAATGATTTATGCTCCTTAAAAAGGTAGCCTATTTTTATACAAAACTATTATTTTTACCAGTATAACTTAATATACACACAATATTTTCAATCTCTTTAATAAAGAAAAAGTTAAAGTTTACTTGAATTTATGAAACAATCACTTTTAGATAATTACAGGGTAAAATTGTAAAGTATTTGTCATAAAATTATTTGAACAGTTAATATTTTATATATATTGTCCCATTTGCATTTCACTTATGAAAAAACATTCTGATAAAAAAAAAAAAAACAACAAAAAACATACTGCATCTGGAAAACTAAATTTTTATGTCAAGAATATTTCTTTTGAACAACTCTTCAACTAAAACTTGAGCCTCAATTGCATTTTCTCAAATTTCTTGAATTATTTGATGTGCTTTTATGGGAATTTAAATAAGAATATCTCACCTAATTTGAGTCATAGTAGTTATAAAAGTTTATTAGTTATTCCATAAGGGAGCATATCTGCTATCATTCTAAGCATATTCTTTTGATATTTATTGCTAGCAAATTATAACTAATTTTTTTTTTTTTTTCATCAGAAAGTTACTAATACTATTAGTTTTCATATACAGATATTTATTTCCCCCATACAAGCCATGGAAAGTTTAATCATGCACACATAATTTGATAAAAAATTAGCAAAAAATCAAAGAAAAAGAAGACTCTGTTCTAATTGGTTTTATGCTTATTAAACATAATTTAGCTTCAATGGCTTTGAAGTTTTACAAATTGCCAATATGCTAGTAACAATGTCCATTGAATAAAGTAAATATTTTTATGTAAAAATGTGATACACTCAATAGTTTCTCATTTTATGTATCATAATACACACACACATACACAAAACAAATACATATTACTCAGGTATCTTATCTTCTATTGGCATGTTTATTTTACTTAAAAGGAAAACTTTATAATATATAAATTATTCATCAACTACCAAGTTTTTGCATATTCAAACTTTTTTCTCATTACTAAAATATAAAGCATTTCCCTAATGTCTCCTAGCCTTGACAGTCTGAGTTATGCACAAAAATCTTTTAAAATTATCTTTAATAGAATAAAATAAGCAAGATTCTGACATTTTTGTTTCTTGTGAGTTATCAGTATTTGATATTAGAGTTTGGAAACAAGGTAAATATATGCGCTCCGTGTCAGCAATGTATTGCATGTCATATCTTCACTTGTCATTCAAGACTTCAAAAAGCCTAGCTAGAGAAATAATCTGACAGACAACAAAGTAAAAAGATATCACTCTATTTTTACTCTTTATTTATTCACTTCCTGGTTTTCTTTCTTTACCACTGCTGACTATGACATTTGTCAAACAATGGCTAGATGGTTTTTCAGAAGAAAAACAGTAAGCTACAAAGATGGAGGAACAATCTATTGTTTACTTTCTTTCCTGTTTTTTTAGCTATTGATTTTTTTTTTTTGCTTCCAATGACAATGTCAACATCTTATGTTTGTGCTTTGACAAATAACCAGTTGGGTCTGTGATAGTGAAACTTTTTTTTTTCAGGTACTTTTATAGAATTCTATTTTTACAGAATCTACTTTCACAACTTGAAATGTTCAGAGTAAAATAGTTGAGTACCTGGTAGTAATCTTTGGGCCATCTCCCAAGATCTTATGGCACTATCTTTAGTTAACAATTTTTAGTGGCAAAAAAATAACATACTTGTTTTCTGGAAAAGTTTGCTTTGATATCACTTTTTCTTTTAAGATAATAACATTCAATATTGTTTTCACTGGTCTAACCAATTCATATTTTTTTCTTTTGCTCTTTTTAGAAACGAAGACGTAGTGCCTCACCCTAGCGAGGATGTAGGCAAATCCGTGATGTCCCAGAAGGCAACTCTTTCATCTGACATTGAGAGAAGACATGAAGATATAAGCAACCTTGGTCAGAGACACCCTGCTGCTGCTGCTGTTGTAGGTGAGATTAACCAAAGGCATTCTGCTGCTGTTGCTGCTGTTGCTGCTACTACCGTTGAGGAACTCAACGGCCAACAAAACACTGAGGAAGTGAATAGCAGATTCTCAGATATTACAAATCACAGACATCCTGAAGAGCTTGATCACAGAAATTCAGAAGAACATAATAACAGACATCTTGAGGATGGCAATCACAGGCCAGAAGTTGGGTATAGGCACTCTGATGAGCTCAACAACCGGCATACTAATGAACACAATCTTAGGCACCCTGATGATTTGAATCACAGGCATAGTGATGAAGCTAATCTAAGGCTAACTACTGATGAACCTGGCTTAAGACATTCTGAAGATATAAATTTGAGACATAATGATGAGCCAACTCTGCGACACACAGAGGATTCTACACTGAGGCATTCGGAGGATTCTAACCTGCGCTTGCCAGATGACATTGGCCAGAGACATACAGATGAGCTTAACAATCGTCACCCTGGAGAAATAAGACACTCAGAGGACTTGAGGCAGTCCGATGACCTAAGGCATCCTGAAACATTAAGACATCCTGATGCCTTGAGACATCCAGAGGATATAAGGCATTCTGATGCTCTAAGGCATCCTGAGGACATCAGGCACACTGATGATTTGAGGCACACGGATGACCTTAGGCACCCAGATGAGCTGAGACATCCAGAAGAGTTAAGGCATTCTAGCGGCTTGAGACACCCGGAGGAACTGAGGCACCCAGATGACTTGAGGCACCCAGATGATTTGAGGCACTCAGATGAGTTAAGACATCCTGATGACTTACGACATCCGGACGAGCTGAGGCACCGAGATGATCTGAGACATCAGGATGATCTCCGTCACCCTGATGACTTAAGACACCCAGATGACTTAAGGCACCCTGATGACTTGAGACATCCAGATGAATTGAGCTACAGGCATTCTGATGAACTTGGACTTCTACACCCAGAAAAGTTGGGTCACAGGCGTCCAGAAGATTTGACCCAACGGATTCCTGATGAGCTTCGCTCAAGGCAAATAGATCTGAGCCACAGGCACTCAGATGAATTGAGTCATAGGATTCCTGATGACTTTGTCCCTCAATTCCCTCAGGATCTGAGCCCCAATCGCTCAGATGACCTCAGCCCTCATCAATCAATTGATGAGCTGAATCTTAGGCATCCAGGTGCTGATTTTGGTCAGAGGTATCATGACGATCTAGGTCTGAGGCATCCTGATTCTTATCAACCTAATGTCAGTGGTTATAGTGGTATTAACATCAATGAACTATCACCACCAACACCCCAGTCCATTTCACCGTCATCTCTGCCAGATGTCACCTGTCACCTAAATAATGAGGGGATTTTTGTTTGCCACCTGTGCAACTTTTCAGGTAAGAATTCATTTGCTTTTGTGATATCACTTTTTCTTCCCCAAGTGAACGGATGGACTAAATAAAAAAATAAATATATTTGTTATGAAGTTCTTTCAGTAATACTTTTAAGAATAACATAATATAAGTATATTCTAGGAACTAAGGATGGTATAATCCTTTAACTTTAATCTTTCAACCATAAAGACAGTCTTCATAACAGTAATTTAAATTATTCATCTATTTTAATGAATTACAGATGTTATTTTGAGGCCTTTGATAATGTCTCCTTATTCTTGATGAAATTGATCAGATTTTCATCAAAAAGTAATCATAGTAACTTAGTCATGAACAAAAGCTTAGTCAATTAACAATTAAATACCTTAGCCATTAAAGCACATTCGTTTATTTCAAATTATCATTGGAATGTAGAGAAAAGTTTTACCAGAAACACAATTATAAATTTTGTGAGAAAAATTTAAACAAAAAGTATGAAATGTTAACAAACAAAAAAAAAAAAAAAAATGAAACATATATAGTTTAATATTTTCATTATTTTATTGACATTTTCAAATATTTATCCCATGGGGTATTTATCTACAGTAATTTTATATAAACAAAATTTGACAGAAATTTTAAATGTCTTACATTTGATGATGGCTTTTACCAGACATGATCATTCTTTAACTCATCAATATCTACCATAAAATTTGGCATTAATTATAATTATTAAATTAAAATCCAGTATTAATTATAGGTTTCTACGTATAATCCATTAATGTTTGCCATCCTAAAAATGAGCATTAATGTGTTAAACTACCTTAGGTACAGTAAATGAAAGGTTTTGCACTGATTTTCTGTAAAAAAAATTAAATAGTTTACAGTTGTTATACTCTTAATTCGCAAAATCCAGAAAATTAAATTAGACTCCAATTGTTTTCAATTTTACCCATATTTTATCAGTTTAAAAAAAAAAATATCACTTATTTCACATTTTATTATTTATATTATAAAGCAGGCATATTAAACCTTCTGACTCTTAGAAGTTTGTGTTGACTTAAAATATTTATCAGTTATAATTGTGAAAGTAGTTTTAAAAAAATTATTACTTTTATTTGGTTAGTGATAAATAAATTTTAGCAAAAAGCATCAAAGCATTTATCTTTGTAAATTATGACTAATATGTCTGTTGCCACACTTGTCTTATTATCAGGAAAAATGTTTTATCAGTTACTGTTTGGTAAAAAACAAAATGGCAAAACAAATACAATAGTAGAATCTAATTGGTATGCAACTATTATTATGAGTGTTTATTTTTATTATCTTTCAATATAAAGACATGAACTAAGGTACCAAAAAGTCTATCTTATTGCACACTAACTGCAAATAGAAAAAATAACTTCCTTGTTAGCTCTATCATTACTAGCTATTAACATAGATTTTTAAAAATAATTCTATTACAAGGCTTTTATAAATTACATGCATAAATCAAGGGGAAAATTAGATAATTAAGTATTCATCAATATTTTATAGATTTGGTTAAAACTCAATAAGGACTTAACTGCCATGAACATTTTCCTCTTTATCTACTAGGTAATTGTAAAACAGTAAACAGTAGATCTTCCAAGTTCTGTTAATTCTGAATTATATTCCTATGTTTGTAATTTTTTTTTTTTTTTCATGTATTTTGCTTATACAAATTTTATTCAATTAAAAAACACTAATTAATCCAATCAGAAGCATTATAACTGATGGATACTTTAATTTTTTTTAATCCAATCAGAAGCATTTATTGGTTTTGTTGAGTAGTAGTTTTTCATTTATGCAGTTGTTGGGTCTTCTACATATTATATAAGTTGGTAAAATCTTGTTAATAAAAATATCATACTTTAAACAACTTGTTTAACTGGAATTATTTTCTTTATTTTCAGTATATTTGTGGCTTACATGAAAATGAAGTTTACTATAAATGCTTTTTATGACCATTAGATACTGGCCAACAATGTGAAAAAATATAATTGATGACCAAAAACACTTTGCACATTAAATAAACCTAAATCTTTTGAACATAAATTATTGATTTAGATATTTCAATGCTAATTAAATAATTTTAAATTATTTTATCTGATAAATCTACTTTAAAAATGCTAGTCTTTGTTGATGGAAATTTGTTTAAAAAGTGAGATTATATTGCAGTGTAAAAAATCTATTACATTTTTGCTAGGTACTTATTTCAACACCTGTTAATTTGAAATATATTTGATTGTGATATTTTCTAATTTGATCCTTTGTTAATTTTTATACTCTTAAATTCCTGTGATTATTCCTCTAGATCTAATGAAAACACAATCTTTATATCATTTGTTCTACTTTCTACATTTTTGCTTCCAGTTTCCGATCATCAAAAAGTTTCAGCAAGGTAAAAGTCAAAGATGAAAATCTAATAAAAAATTTTATATAGGTTTTAAGACTATACTAAGAAGCCAACTTGCTCAAAATAAGGTTCTGAAAACTTTATTTTTACTAAAATGATTTTTTTGTAAAAATTTTACTAAATGATTAAATCTTTTTCTATAAATTCCAAATGAATAAAAAACAATTCAGCATTTTGAATAGATAACTGTTGCATAATGGGATAAGAAGAGTTTATCTTTATTGATGTGCAAATGAATTTCTTATCTTATTGGTTACATCTTATCACATTTAGATTATTATTTTTTTTTAATGTATTTAAATTAAAGACATTAAGAAATTCTCTATCAGACACATCTTTAAAAAATAAAATAAAATGATAAACTTTCAGTTTTAAACGAAAAAGTCTTACAAATGAAAATATTCATACTTGCAGATTTAATTTTCACAAAAAAAAAGTAATAATAATAATAATAATAACGGCACTGACAAAGGATCTTCAAAAAGCGCCCTTAACTTTTGTAAGATTTAAATCAAACTATATTGTAACTTTTTTCTCAGTAAAAGTTTCTTTGAAGTAGAAATTCTTGAACATTGTTTTTATTTTAATTTTATTATTTTATCATCAGGTTTTTAATCAATGAATTGTATTGTCTTATGTCAGTAAATGAAAAGGAAAATTAAAATGAAAATAAAATAAATTCAGGAAAAGTATTCAACTCAAGGGGTTTTACTTTATCAACAATTCCTATTGTTGAAATTTTACTCAATTATCTTATCTGTTATTCCGTTATTTAGTTTAGTAGTTGCAAGGTTAGGTAAAGAAAGAAAAGAAAATAAATGACAAAAAAGAATAAGATTCCGTCTTTTTGTTTATTTCAACTATAAAGTACTTTTACGAAAATTCTTGGTAAATCAGTTGTTAATGAGCAATACAAGAATAAAATTAGGTAATAATAGAAATAAATTAAAACTTAAAAGTAAGTTAAAAAAAGTAAAAGATGTACGTTCATCACTGAAATGTATGTAGAGGGGAAAAAGAATAAACAGTTGACTAGATATTGTGATAACGGGGAGAGGTAACTAAAAGTGAAAAAATGTTGTTGCAGACAAGTTTTCCAATAAACAAGTAAAAAATTAATGGAATCTCAGCTGGAATTCCCTGATGCCAGACACACACTTGGCATGATAACAGAATGATTTTCATCCTAATGTGTCAGTAAGAGCCTCACTCTCTATGACCAACACACACAAGATGAAATCGACAACGCTACAAAACGAACGCCACTGCATCTTCCTATTGTCTGTCTGACATGGCTTTTATGACAACATTGGCTCTGAGGAAAAAGTCAAACAAATCCTTCTATGGCACGGACATTATTCTTGGTGTCCACTTGCGGGGTGGGGGTGGAAGAAAAAAAAAAGAAGAGAAGAGAAATATGAATGGTGATAGTGTTGGGCAAGAATTGATCTGAAGAAACAGCAGACTGCTGTTGTACGAATGTTGTTTAGGTATGGTAGCCAAGCCACCCTGATCATTCTCCCGTTCTCACTAGCACCAAAACGATTTCCTACCCCACTCTATAATTACTTCCATTCTACCTTTTATCGTATTGTCATTTGTTTTTACTTCTGATCATTTTGGGCCAACAATGTGAAATGTCACAAAAAGCAGATATTTTCATTACAAGCAAATAGAAAAAAAAGTTGTATTTTTGGGTAGATCTATATTCTAGTTATTATCCACTGTTCACTAGTCTTGCTTGCATCAGCTATGTCCAGTTTTTTTTAGTCCTTAAACTTCAAACATTAACAATTATCTTCAGTTTTGTCATTTTGTGGCCTTTAAACTTTCTTCTGCAAAATCAAGTTTTTATTTCCTCCGTTAATGAGTTCATATTTTTCCTTTTAATTTTTATAACTGTAAGAACATTTTTAAATAAATTACTTTGTTTATTTTTCTCAGTTTGTTGCAAAATACCTACTATTCCCCATTCACTCCCTCCAAAATTTACCCAGGAAACGTTTTTAAATGTTTTAGCAATGGAAAATATTTTGTTAGACAAAAGCAAAAATCAATAAATTCACAACAAATATATTTATGATAAATAAACCTTTGTATTGAAAAAGAATGTGTGGACCTGAAAAGAAAACTAAGTAAAACACGATACTTTTTTTTATCGCTGTGTGCTGTACAACTATTTTAGTTTTTAAAAATGTACTTGATGTCAACTTAGTGCGAGAAAATGTAACTTTTGTTTTTTTTTTTTTTAGTTTTTTTTCCTTTTTTACACGAATAAACAAAAACACGTTATTTTTTGTTGGAAGTAAAATAAACAATTTTAAAAAGGTATTGTCAATCTCATCATATTTTTCGTCAATCAAATCAAGTGTCAATAATTAATGAGATATCAAAAAAAAAAAAAAAAAAAAAGGTTGTTTATGCATAGCCTTAAAACTGCAGCTGAGTAGCCAACAGTCTCGTAATAACTAGTTGAATGTAGGGATCATTTTTTTTTTAGTGGCGTCCCAATTTAACACAAAACTTTCAGTATATTTTAAAATTCTAAAGGCTAAAGAAAGGGTGTGTGTACACGCTTGAAAATATT